CTTAAAAAAAAAATGGTTCTGGCCTATGCTCTTTTGCATATCCAGAAAGCAGCTCCACTGCGATAATCCTCCTCCTAGGAGGTTCTAAGTCAGAGGTAGACAAACTTTCTGTAAAAGGCCAAATACTAAATATTTTTAACTTTGCTAGCCATTTGGTCTCTGTTGCAACCACTCCACTGTGCAACACTCCATAGGCAATATGTAAATAAATGAATGTGACTGTGTTCCAATAATATATATTTCCAAAACAGGCAGCAAACTGATTTGGGTCCGCAGGCTGTAGCTTGCCAACCCCTGTGCCAAATGATCAGAGTCACAGCTTTATGTAGCACATCTATATCTCCCGGAGCATTGCAAAAACCTCCAAACTAGTACTGATCCTTTCTCACTTGTACCCTTGCCTTCTACTCTCATCCTAGCAACCAAGGTGATCTTGTCAATGCCTTCCACCCTCCCACATCTGGCTCCACATAAAAGCCAATGTTCACACTGTGATCTGCAAGGCTCTGTCTGTCCCTCACCATGATCTCTCTGAGCTTATTGACAATCAATCCTTCCTCCTTTCCGTGCACTGAAGCCACACTGGCCTTGGGCCATTCCTTGAACAAGTCAGGCAGGTTCCTGCTTCCGTGCTTTTGCACTCAAGGTTTCCTCTGCCTAGAATACTCTTCTGAAGATAACACATCCAGCTTCTTCACTTCTTTCTGGATATCTTTCAAAAGTCATCTTTATGGTAAGGTCTTTCTTAGCCACCCTATCTAAAATCTTCCACCCCAAACACCTGTAACCCCTCTTTTCTGCTTAAGTTTTTCCTAATTCACCAATGTATAATATATTATATATCATACTTATTTATCTTATTTACTGTTTGTCTTCTTCCCCCAAATATAAGCCCCATGAGAGCAGGGATTTCCTCTGCCTTGATCACCGCTGTATCCTTAATGCCTATAATAGTGCTTAGTACATAGTACATACTCAGTAAATATATATTGAATGAAAGAATGAATGAATAAAGAAGCTCTCTTTCCTTATAGATACTATTGCGCTAAACCAAGAAGCCATCATGAGTAATTTTTTCTTTCCCTTTTGAATGTTTTTAAGAAAACATGTCAAATTTCTAGCTGAAAAATTTGTATATATTGTGTTCATCTGCGCTCAAATTAAAAATGCTTAATTGTCTCATTTTAGCCACTTCTTTTCTTCTGAACTGTCTCTCTCCACTGACAGGATGAAACTAGAGGGAGGGAAATTAAGTTGCAAAACTCAAAAAGCAGTTGTATGTTTTTTTCTCAATGCATAGAAATTGGTTATTGGTTATTGAGAAGTTTTGCTTCAATTCTGTGGGTATTTGTGAATGTGCTGACCAAACTCTTCTCATGGGTCATGAAAATGTCAGAAAAACTCTTCTTAGAGAGCTCCAAGAAAAACAATTCATTTTTGTAATTTTAAACTGTAAGCTCTATGTGAATATATATTTCTTTTGTACTTTGGAACAAAAGAAAATATCGAGTTTTTTAAGATTCAAAAGTGTGCGTGGGTTACTTATGAGCATATGAAATTGGCTCAAGTTAAGACATATTTGACAATTACCCCATCAAAACAGATAAAGAAAGATTAGAATTTGGATTTATTTATATGTGATTAAAAGGAAATCAAAGTAGTTCACATTTTTTAAATTGGCTCCTTTGTTTGAAATGGAAGGGAAAACAATTGTTAATTAATACTCGGGTTCAAATGGTCAGGAATGTCTCCTATTTCTTTGTCAGTCAATATTCTCATAATTTTCTGAGTTCTAAAATCATTTCCTTCATTTCCATTTTCCCATGTATTTGCTTCCCTGAGCTCCTGTAGTTTCACCTCTAAATGGTGTGCAGTGTCTTGAACACAATAGGTAAATAACAAATGCCTATTTCCCTAGCATCTTGAATGCTTATGCAAGTATTTCTTAAATATATGCCTTCTCTCAATGAGACTGTAAACCCCTCAAGATAAAAAGGTATCTGAACCTACTTTCTTCTCTAATCACTCAATACCCAGAACATACTAGTTACTAAATGATGTGGAGAACTAAGGTGAAAGAAATATAGAGGAAAAATTAAACTTCCTTATAACTTGAAGCCCATTGACAAGTACCTGAGACAGGCAGAGTGACCTTCCTCAAGGAGCTTAGCTCTCTCCATGTTAATAGTTTGCTAGAGGCAAGAGGCAACCTTAGCTTGACATTAGCCCAACCTCTGGGATCCTGTAAAAATATCCCTGGGTGGCTCAGTCGTTAAGCCACTGCCTTCCACTCAGGTCATGATCCCAGGTTCCTGGGATCCAGACCCTCATCGGGCTCCCTGCTCTGCGGAAGCCTGCTTCTCCCTATACCACTCCCCCTGTTGTATTCCCTCTCTTGTTGTCTCTCTCTCTCTCTGTCAAATAAATAAAATAAAATCTTTAAAAAAAAAAATCCTTTTGGAAACTTCCTTTATCTCCACCCCCTAAGATATATGTTGGCAGTCATCGTCCAAGCATATATACATCTGATATACATCTGAAAGGTCTCATGACTCGGGTTTTACCAGACAGTAGTAAATGACCTTTTCGTAACAACAGACAGTAGTAAATGACCTTTTCGTAACAACAGCCAGCCCCTCAAGGTCCTGGAAACCTTACTTCCAAATTCCTTAGAGACTTATGCTTCATGGGTCGTCTTCTTCTGTTGTTTTTTTTTAACATATAATGTATTATTTGTTTCAGAGGTACAGGTCTGTGATTCAACAGTCTTACACAATTCATAGCACTCACCATAGCACATACCCTCCCCAATGAGACTATGGATTCTGAGAAACAAACTGAGGGTTCTAGAGGGGAGGAGGGGTGGGGGGATGGGTTAGCCTGGTGATGGGTATTAAAGAGGGCACGTTCTGCATGGAGCACTGGGTGTTATAGGCAAACAATGAATCATGGAACACATCAAAAACTAATGATGTAATGTATGGTGATTAACATAACACAATAAAAATAAATAAATAAATAAATAAGAGACTTATGCTATCCCTAACCCCCTCCCAACTTGAAACTATATAATGGGCCACTCCTCACGACCCCATTGCAGCTCTTTCTGACCACGGGTCCTATTAGCCATGCTTTAATAAAACCACCCGTTTTGTACCGAAGATGACTCAAGAGTTCTTTCTTAACGGTTCACTCCCAAACCCCAACATTTCACATCACTAAATACTTGTTAAACTTGACTTGTTAAAAAGAAACATTAAGGGATGCCTAGATGGCTCAGTCGGTTAAGCATCTGCCTTCAACTCAGGTCACATTCTTGGGATCCTGGGAATGAGTCCTGTCTCAGGCTCCCTGCTCAGCAGGGAGTCTGCTTCTCCCTTTCCCTCTGCCTCTCCTCCCACTTGTGCTCTCTCTCTCTCAAATAAATAAATAAAATCTTTTAAAAAGTAAAACTTTGATGGGCAGCAGATATTTAGGAATTAAAGGGTAATAATTTTACAGCATTTAAAATTAAGCATTTCAGTAAAACCTACTGTCATGAGGAGAGCCAGAAGATGTTAATTCATCAAGAATCAGACCTGTGGTTGTGTTGTTATTGGTGTTGTTGTTGTTGTTGTTAAAATCTCTAATCCCCCAGTGTTTTCACAATAATTAAGTCAGAAATATGAGCTGAGCTAAGAAATAACATAAGAAAATAACACTTACTCTAACTGTACTGACCTGCTCGTATTATTTGTAAGGCATCAGTGAGTTATCTCACTGAGTTTACATGAGTTTAGAAATTTAGTTCTAAAAAAAGACAGGAAGGAAGGAAGAAAGGAAGGAAAGGAACAAGGGAAGGAATGGGAGATACCTCTGCTGGAAAGGAGGAAAATAAAAGCACAATTTCAAAGATTAAACATGAAGATTCCTTTCATAGAGTCTAAAAGGTAGGAAACAATATAATGTTAATCATAAGCAGAGTGATCTGTGAAATACTGAGATTTTATTCTTGTCTAAGAACCTAGCTCTCTGCTCTTTACAGGGTAAGTATCCTCCACACATTTCTTCCCTCCCTGTGCTTAATTCTACACATCTGCAATACACACCATCTCTCTCTCTCCCACCTGACTTCTCTCATGGGAAAACTAAATTTGTTTAAATCATGTGGGAGCATTATAAATACTCTTTGGTGATTAGAATAAATTGGTTCAAATCACAGTTACTTTCCTACGTACTGACTGATGAGGAAATTTAGAGATGCTATAATTTATAAACAAAATGAAGGAGGTTAACCTGGCAAGATATGAGAGGTAGGAACAACTTTTGCATTTAAGAAATTGAAAGGGAAGAGAAGGGCCCATTTTCCAAATCATTCAATGAGGCCAGTATTACCGTTTCCAAAACCAGATAAAGACATCACAAGGAACGAAAACTACAGACTAGTATCTCCTATGAATATAAACACAAAAATTCTCAACAAAATATTAGCAAGTCAGACCCAATAACATATAAAAAGGATTGTAGGGCCGCCTGGGTGGCTCAGTCGGTTAAGCGTCTGACTCTTGATTTCAGCTCAGGTCATGATTTTAGGGTCTTGAGATTGAGCCCCGTGTCAGGCTCCATGATGAGTATGGAGTTTGTGTGAGATTCTTTCTCTCCTCTGCCTCTGCCCCCAGCCCCCGACCACTCGCATGTGTACTCTTTTCTTCAAAAAAAAGGATTATAAACCATGACCAAATGGAATTTATCCCATAAATGCAAGGGTGGTTTAACATCTAAAAACCAATTAATGTAGAACACAATATCAATAGAATAAAGGTCAAAAACTACATGATCATCTCAATACACACAGAAAAGGCAATCAACAAACTCCCAACACCCTTTTACCATAAAAATATTCAACAAACTAAGAATAGAAAGAACTTCCTTAAGGTAAAAAAAAGGGGGGGCATTTATGAAAAACCCAAAGGTAACAGCATATTTAACTGTGAACACTTTGTCCCTAAGATCAGGAACAAGACAGGGATGTCTGCCCTCACCACTTCTATTCAACATTGTGCTAAAAACAGCCAGGACAATTTGGGAAGAGAATGAAATAAAAGGCATTCATATTGAAAGGATGAAGTAAAACTATCTCTATTTGGAGATAACATGATCTCATCATAGAGAATTCTAAAGAATCCACCAGAAAATGGTTGGGACTAATGAGTTCAGCAAGATTGCAGGACACAAGATTAATATATAAAAATCAATTATATTTCTATACACTAGCAATAAACAATCCAAAAATGGAATTAAGAAAATAATACCATTTATAAAAACATTAAAAAGAATAAAATCATTAGGAATAAATTTACCAAAAGAAGTATAAAATTGTACTCTGCAAACTACACAACACTGTTGAAAACAAGCTTTAAAAGACCTAGGTAAATAGAAAGACATTCCATGTTCATAGATCGGAAGAATGTCTATAATGCTGCAATAATGAAGACACAGAGGGACTCGCACAAAGATAAACATATTAATCAGTGGAATAGAATTGAAACTCCAGAAATAATTCTTATGTTTATGGTGGGTTGATTTTTAACAGAAGTGCCTGATAATTCAGTGGGGCAAGAACGGTCTTTTCAATCAATGATACCAGGACACTTGGATATCCACATGAAAAAGAGAGAAATTGGGCTTCTTCCTTACACCATAAGTGAAATTTAACTCAAATAGATCATAGACCTAAATGAAAGAGCTAAAACTGTAAATCCCTTAGGAGAAAACATAGGCATAACTTCCGATGGTCTTGAAGCAAAGCCTTTTCAGAAATGATACCAAAAGCAACAAAAAGAAAAGATAAATTGAACTTTCCCCAAATTAAAAGATACCATGAAGAAAGTGAAAAGACAACTGACAGAGCAGGAGAAAATATTTGCAAATCATATATCTAATCTGACTTATATCCTGAACATGCAAAGAAATATTATAACTTAGGGGCACCTGGGTGACTCAGTCAGTTAAGCATCTGTCTTCAGCTCAGGTCATGATTCCAGGGTCCTGGAATCAAGCCCCACGTCAGGATCCCAGCTCAGTGGAGAGTCTGCTTCTCCCTCTCCCTTTGCCACTCCCACTACTTGTGCTCTCTTTCTCTCTCTCAAATAAATAAATAAAATCTTGGGGGGAAAGATTATAACTTAATAATAAACTTAATATTATAACTTAATAATAAAAAGACAACCCAGTTAAAACTTGAGCAAAAGATTTGGATATTTATCCCAAGAAGATAAACAAATGGCCAAAAAGCTTGAAAGATGCTCAACCTCATTAATCCTTAGAGAAATGCAAATCAAAGCTACAATGAGCACATCATATGTATTAGGATGGCTAAATTAAAAAGTTGGACAATAACAAATAACAAAATAACAAATGTTGCTGAGGTTGTAAAGGATCAGAACTATTCATACATTGCTGGTGGAAATGTAAAATGGTGCATCTGCTTTGGAAAACAGTCTGATAATTCCTGAAAATGCTAAATGTAGAGTTATCATATGACCCAGCAATTCTACTCATAGGTACACAACCAAGAGAAATGAAAACAAATGTCCACACAAAAACTTGTACACAAATGTTCATAGCAGCATTACTCATAATAGCCAAAAAGTAGAAACAACCCAAATGTTCATCAGCTGATGCATAGATAAATAAATGTGGCATAGCCATACAGTGTGATAATATTTGGCCATAAAAAGGAATGAAGTACTGATACATACTACAATATGAATGAAACTTGAAAACGTTATGCTAAATGAAAGAAGCCAGTTGCAAAAGACTACTTATCGTATGATTTCATTTACATGAAATAGACAAACCTATAGAGACAGAAAGTGGATTAGTGGTCGCCTAGGACTGGGGGCCTAGGGGATGGAGATGGGGAATGAGGAGTGACTACTAATGGGTATGGGGTTTGTTCTGGGATGATGAAACTTCTAAAATTGATTGTGGTGATGGTTGCTCAACTCTTTAATACACTAAGAAATCATTAAATTGCATACATTAAATGGGTGAATTATATGTCATGTATCTCGATAAGGTTGTTCAAAACAAAAGGAAGGGATCACCTTCCATTTCTTTTTTTTTTTCTATTTAATTTGCAAACCCCATTAAGAAAACATGCAAAGTTATTTCAGCAAATGTTTGATCTCCGAACTCATTTTCTATACCCAATAAGATGCATTTGAAGTCAGAAATCTTTAGTAGCTGTACGCTATTTTGCCTGTGTTACATTTAAGGAGCATGATAAATTATTACTGGTTCCACAGCCATTTCATAAATACCATCCCATTTGGTGGCAGTCAGGAAAACTAATTTATTAAATTTGTCAAAAATATTTCCTAAGCATCTATAATGATCATAGTATAGTGAGAGCTCGGTGCTTAGAAGCCAAGAGACATCTGATATGGCTTCAGAAGTTGGCAAAATATGTAAATTCATAAGAACAATAGAGTAGCAACAAAAAGTATTTTGGAGGAAAAAATAAAACAACCAATTTCTCCTATGTGCATTACATAGGAGAAATTCTTGCAAGAATCCCAGGATTTGTGTCATATATAGTATCATATAACCCGGCTATAAAGGGGAGAGGTGTTCCTAGACCTGTATCTGATGTTTTGCTTTAGTATTTAATCTCTTGTCTCTTGTAGGAGCAAATACTCTTCCACTTATGGATACTTCTGTTCTTCCCCCTGAAGAAAAAAATATCTAAGAGTAAATCCTTCCATTTATTCATGCAAACCCTTTACTGGATTTTTCTCCAGGGAGAAGAGTGACCTCTTTGATTGGAGAAATAGGGAGAATCTGACATCCAATGACCCCAAGACCAGTAGGGACCTAATCTAAAAAACAAGCTTGTTACTCTTTTCTTTCCTTCTTCTCGTCTTTCCTTCCCTCCTTTCCTCTTTATTTCCCTGCAGTGGGCTACCCTTCTTCCTCCTGAAAGGGATGCATGTCTTCCTGAAGTAATTTTGCTTTTAATTGGAAGGACGTCTACATTGTATTGAAAGGTAGAAGCCTCTCATTCAGTTTTACATAAACAAGCTGATGAAGTCCATTGCTACTTTTCTCTGGTCTTTGTATTTCCCCTTTTTAAAGTAACCCTTGAAAAGAAATGTGAGTGGTAACATGTGCACATTAAACTGACCCTGAATCTCCAGGACTGCTGTTGAGAAGTTCTTTTACTAATCCCATGCTTCCATTCTTATTCAATGAGGAAAATTCCTTAGACAACAGTATATGTTTTAGCAGTTTTGCCTAATTACTGCATAGAGGAAATAATTGAAAAGCACAGGGTCGGGTCAAATTATTGGAATGGCACTCTTTACACAGATATTTAAAAATTAATATTAGCCAAAAAGATTTGGTAAATGACCTAAAATTTTAGATACACGGATATGATGGTTTAAAATGCAATTTAGAAATATAAAATGCTATTTTGGAAGGTGAAATAATAACAAATAAAAAAGAAAACTGTAGCTTTGATTTGAGTATTTATGGTGTGCCTACTCTATAACTAGTACCAGACTATTAAATTAAAGATATATTCTTTCACTGATCATTTCATAGGTAATGTGTGGAAATCAGTCATCTCAATCAATCAGTCCTCCTCCTTGCTGGGCTCTGTGCAGTGGAGAATATATACCCAAGGACCTAAATGAAAATCATATTTTCATCCTTATATGTGGAGGGACAATATTTCCCAAAGTTCCTGGTAAAGCTGGAATGGAGATCTTATATGGTACCAGAGGCTAATGTGGGGAGCTCTACCTAACAAATCCTAAATCTAGATTTTTCCCTCTCTTGCCTATAAGGAGAGTTAGGTCTTTAAGGCATCCCCCTTAAGATTTCTTTAGCAGCCAACTTCATGGAAGACTGTGATTTTCCTCACAAATCCAGTTGCTGTCAGAAGAGAGTGTGCTGGAGACCAACAATGAGAGATGGATAACATGCCTCCCCCTTAGAACAAAAGGGCCAAGTGTGCTTCTGCGTGGAATGAGAAAGCTGAGTGCAAGACCTGACCCTCCCTTACTCACTCATTAATACAAGTAGACTCTCTAGTACTATCCAAATGAGAATGGATGGAAACCAACTCTTGGAAACATGAGAAGTATCCCCTCCACAACATACTAGAACACCAGAAATCGTGGAAGCTCAGCAGTACCCATTCACTCCTCAGTTTTATAATAACTATTTACTAAGTGCCAAGCATTGCCTTAGGAAATGGTTATATAAGAATCAAAGCAGGACACACTCACTGCTCTCAAGATCACAGTCTACTCACACTAGGGTAAGAGGCTAAAGATTTGGATTCTGGTCCTGACCAACAAAAGAACTCTATAAATGCTATATGTCATGGATTCTTCTGAGACTCCATTTCTTAACTATTAAATGAGGGTGGAAAAGTAATATGCGGGCGCCTGGGTGGCTCAGTTGGTTAAGCGACTGCCTTCGGCTCAGGTCATGATCCTGGAGTCCCGGGATCGAGTCCCGCATCGGGCTCCCTGCTCAGGAGGGAGTCTGCTTCTCCCTCTGACCCTCTTCCCTCTCATGTGCTCTCTCTCTCTCATTCTCTCTCTCAAATAAATAAATAAAATCTTTTTAAAAAAAGAAAGAAAAGTAATATGCATGCCTCCTGAGGAGGGCATGAGATTCATACATAGTGATATTCCTCAGGATCCCCTTTGTGTACATCTACTCATCAGTGACTCCTTCCTTTGTACCCAGCCTATTTTGTCAATACACATCTATTTTAGGAAAGGATATGACAAACTCATTCAGCACAAAGAAAGAAGTGTGTTTACAAGGTGAATCTTCCCAGAAGTATTTCTATTTTCATGGAAGACTAAATCCTCAAGTTAAATACTGAAATAATTTTCACTTGTAGATTTTCATATAGTTTAACTTTCTTCTCCTAGCATAAATCTGAAGTGTCAGGCAACTCCACTGACAAATCAGGCCAGCCATGTTGCATGGAGAGCCAGTATGGAAATCTATGTCTTTTTTGTTTTTGTTTTGTTTTCACATGTATTAGTTTATTCACAGACTTTGTAAATCTATCCAAGAAGCATTCCTAGGATACGCTGCCTCATAAGACAAAAATAGATGTTACCTTTGAGTGCCTCTATAGTTGATGAAAACAGGCTTTGTGCAATACTGACTTGACCACACTTGTCACAAAAATCACCTCTACCATCAACTTACTAGAATGTCATCACCCACTACAGTACAGAAGGTAAAATGAGTGTCACAATTAACAACATGTAAATTCAACCCCTCTGATGTGTTCCCTAATTATAATTAAGAGATAATCACAGGACTTATCATCTGCCACTCCCTGTAATGCCTCAACCTGCCTTTGAGCTTAGCAAGTTTAGCTACAAAAATTTTTACATAAAACTCAAAAAATATTCTTTTAGCACTCACAGCAACCATGACACTGCTAGGTACCGACAGACAAACAAACAAAAATGAAGACATGCTCATTGATTTCAAGGCACTTTTACTGCTATGTAGTACTTCAGATTGAGTCCTAGGCAGATGTCATCAGAGAAACAAAGTAATGAGATGATTGGCCTGGAGAAGACTGAAGGTACCATGCTATTGTCTTCAATATTTGAAGTATGGGTATGTGGCCGAATAACTGGCACATATTTCTTTTTTTTGGTGGGGAGATACCAAATTACTTTATTTGAAGAATGGTACAAATGAAAGAAGTTAAGTAGATGTTTTGGTACAACTTATAGAAAAGGTAAAGGTAACCCCAACATGCATGCACGGCCTTGGTGACCAGGGAAGTCACCCTTGTGGCTATGGGAAGACAGCCTAAGGCTTAGCTCTCACTATCACAGTTTCCCAAGGTGTGCTTGTCAAAGAGATACTCTGCCATGCCAGATTCGGGAGCCCCCATCTTGTGCAGGTTGGTTACATGGTCACCCAATTCTTTGATGGCACATATTTCAAAGGATACAATTAGGAGCAGATTTTGGAAATTTCAGGGTGACTGGTTTCACCTCTAAATATGGAATAACTTTCCAAATTTCAGAAAGTATCTGGGCAGGTATTCACTTGTTGGGCTTGTAGAAAGAGAACACACATCAGGGGGGAAAGCTGAGTGGGCTCTCATGTAGCATATGGTAGGAGGTCTGTCATTAATATCTACTGATAAGTTGATCATTTTCTTTGAGACGTGTGCTCTTTTATTGAAGATTCCCATACCAGTGTTAATAGAATCTACCTCTTGAGAAATCTCAGAAGGCGTCAAAGAGATAAATTTTACAACCTGCTGACATTCTGTCATCCGCTCTTTACTTAATATTTTTGGGCCCTGAATTATTGTCAGTTATTTATAAGTGAAAGTATTCTGGAAAAAATAATGTGGACTTGGGGTTTCTTTATTTTTATAATTGCTAAAAGAGCCCTTGAGTTTTCATACATCTCCATGTGCTAAAAACCTTCAGATTGTCTCCCTGAACTTTCTAATGGTCACAGGACCAAAAATCATCCTTCCCTAGAGTCCAGTTAGTTGTTTTATAGTCATAGCAATCTGGGAAGCTTTCATTTGTTTCTTATTGTTTCTTGATGAATCTTTGCCTAATGGAAATAGGCAGGACAAAGTCCATAGGGATTATGATGATGGAAAGGAGTAAGATTTATCACAAGAGATCAGTAAGAGTTTCCTACAATTTTCAATCACTGAAGTTGTATTTAGTGGCCTGGCATGTTGTCATGATTCATTGTCATTTCTATTTATAACTTCAAGAATGAAACAGAGCCATGTGCTGTAGGATATGAACACATACATGAAAAGTGATGGCTAATATTTACCGAGTGTTTAATATGTGCCAAGGACTATGGTAAACATTTTATTTGAGTTATTTAATTTAATATTTTAGCAACACTGCCAGGCAAGTGCTTGCATTTTTTGTTCTTCATGTGAGGAAACCAACATGGAGAGTATCCATGAAGGGATCCACTTAGGGAGTAATACAACTGAAGTTTGAACCTGGGCATGAACACAAGAACCTGTACTCAGGAGCCCCTCTGCCAGGCTACTACCCACACCACCCACTGTCCTCTAACCTCTATTGTGAATTAACACCTTAACAAGAAAATGTTATGATAAGAATCAGAAAAGATATAACTCTTGTTTATAAATGTATGCTATGATAAAGTCGAGCTAAACTGTGAACCACTAAAAGTGGAAAAGGGACTAGCAAATATGGTGAGAAGCAAACCTTCTCAACTGAAAAGGAAGTCTGTATTCATCAGGGATACTCAAATAACACCAGTCCTGTCACTTCGAGGACCTTCTGGAAGTGGTCTCCTTGCCCTCCGGACTAATGGAACTCAGCCATCCCAGCAGCTCTGCCATGTTCTCCTGGAGGTGATTGTGGTTTCCTCTGTGAGTCACAAACACAGTGACTGGAAAGCTCCCTTTGAGCTTCCCTCCTGCTAAAGGAGAGCAACTCTATTAGCTTATTCTGAATAAGAACACTCATGTAAGGAATGTCACAATTAGTTGAATCCAGTTAACTAAAAGCCTTTATTAATCAGGATTTTTCCACAATTAACTTCTAAGGACCAAAAAAAAAAAAAAAAGGCAAACTTCAAAATAAGAATCAGAGAAGAAAACTTGTAAACATTTCTCTAGGCCTGGTACACATTCATCCAAACTCCCACACTTCTACAACTATATAATACTATTCAATAATAGCTAACATTTGCGGGAGCACTCACTGTGCGCCAGATATTTGTACTAAGGGATCCATGTGTCTGTTTTTCCTTTAACATGGCAATCCTTTGAAGCAAATACGGTTATTCTCCCTATTTTACAGATTGCCAAATCAGCCACGGAGTTCATTTGCTCAAGGTCATACACTTAATTGATGGTAGTGAGGAAGCGTAAGCCCACAGAATGCAAAACTTAATCAATATGCCATATTGCTTCCTGATTTTCTGTGCATAATATGATGACTCAGAAAAATATTATTCAATAAATAATAATAGCTCATTCACTGAGTGCTTCCTGTATGCCAGGCACTGCTGTAGGCACATTGTAACTATTATCTCATTTAATATTCACATTAACCCCTTAAAATAGGTACCATTTTTATCCCCATTTTTTAGGAAAGTGAGGCACATAGAGGTCAAAATAATTCATTTTCTCCACATCACACATCACACGGTTATAGAGCAAGAACAAGAACCAAAATGTGTTACTCCAGAGTACAGCCTTTTAATTGCTACACTTTTTTCTTTTTCTTCTTCCCTTCTTCCTTTCTTCTTTTCTTCCTTCCAGACAGGACACAGAAGAGGAATATAAGTCTAATGCATTTTAGAAAGATCTCCAATAAAGTTAATCAACCAATAAAAGTTGATTCAAAAAGGAAGTTCTGGTTGATTAATTTAATGATTATTCAAATGATCTAATTCCTGAGCTTTCTGGTTAATTGAGTTTCCACTGGCTTTAGGCCATTCTGTTCAGAGAGAAATTCCAGCCCATGGGATGTTTTTATTTCATCTTCATTGGTAAAAAAGGCAGCAAAACACTCAAGGATGCTCCCAGAAAACTTACCCTCTGAAGCATTATCAAGCATTCATGCTACAACTTTGAAAATTTCTTTTGAACAATATTTATTAGGAAACTAAAACTATGCAAAATTTAACTTTGCTAAGTAAGATTACTTCGATTTCAAACGTGTTTCCCAGTGATTGAATCAGACATTTTAAAAGCATTCTCCAGATCTCGGTGTTACAGAAATCCTAATTTATCACTGCTTTTACTATTTATAGGATAGAAGATCCCCAAAGCTTGTAATTAATGAACTGCTAAATTCAGGCATGTGGAGGTGATGTAGTTTTCAAGTGCGACAAATGGGAATTATCAAACTTCAGAAGGATGAAATTCCACCATATTTTCCTAATGGGAGACACTCAGGAAATGTCCTTCAAATGAATTAATTCTTCTAATTTTTCTTCTTTAAATGTCTTTACCTCAATAAACACTGTATCTTAATTTTCATTCATTCCTACAAATTTTTGTTCATTATTTTCTTCTTTTATATGATCCCTTATTCTGGGTCTTGATTTTTTTAAGCATATGCTCATGCTTAGTTTATAAACTGCAAATCCACTTCTCGTGTCAATTTTAAGATTTTCAGCCTGATCACCCATTCTTCCATTAATTGCTCTTTTTTGCTTCAAAAAATGACTTCTTTGTCCACATGGCTCCTCCTCACTTTCCCTATGTTAATATCTATGTTATTTTCCTCTCAGAACATCTTCCCACTTCTCATATGGCCAACTGGCACCTCTTCTTTTTTTCCACGGATTAAGCAACCAAAATATTTCTTCCACCTGAAGGCCATCCCTTTGTTTGGAAATTCAAGTCTGCGGGGCTTAAGTCTGACTCAGTGTTCCTGCTCTAACTCCTATAACAACAAAAGTTTTAATTTCTTTTGTTTTCCAAAAATATTTATAATAAAATGCCACTGCCCTCCAGCCAAAGACCACCAGGAATACTACTATAGTTGAACAAATTTGGGTTAATTGACTCATTACATTGAGGAAGAACACATACCATTGGGGACCATGGAGCAATACAGGACTAAGGTATTAGAATGGACTTATATGATTTTTGCAAGTGTTAGGTGGTTTGGAAGAGGGTTCAAAGCAGCATGGCTGGTTACTGTCAAGAAGAGAGGCTAATTCAATGATCAGTTATCTTAATAATTTTTATACCTAGAAGGCCAGAACACCAGACTTAAGACTAGGAGATCAAGACTAAACTGTGATTGGTAAAGAAATGGCAATCACTCCTACCGTTCTTGGTATCAGAGGATGTTTGGTTCATTTTATGTTTTGTTGTGTTTCACATATATTCAGCCATAATTAAGGAATGGTCTTCTTTTGTCTCAATCCATCCCAGTCACAGACTGGTCTTCCATGATGCAGTTCTGCCAGACTCTCTGGGGTCAAGAGGATCGCCCTAAGCCCAGCTGTGGGTGCCAGACCAGCTCCTGGTAACATCCGAGGCCAACTTGACAGCACCAAACTGTCAAGGCTGTTTTTCTGAAAACAATGTTTATTCATTTCAGAGAACCTGAAAGACATGAAAAGCATTGAGAAAAAAACAAATAGCTTGCTCAGAGTTTTCTTGTTGTTTTTTTTTTTCCCCTGAATGGGAATACCAGAGAAAAGGAGAGAACAGGAAAGCAGGCCACCATATGTGTGCTGGCCCTGCAGGGATGTTTCATCTTTTGGCAGCACTGAGGCTCCGCAGCAAGGAAAGCTGAAAAGAGAGTACCGGGGATCCCCCCCAAAAGTCAACTCAGCTGTGGCGGTAAAGATAGAGGTAAACAGGCTGCATTAAGAAGGTGGCATTCCAAGTCAAATGGTTTGGAATGTTCTGGATGCAAACATCCTGCAGTTGCCAGCACTGAACTTTTCCATTCAATATAGCACCTACTGTGTGCCAAGCACATATGTTAACTTACCTAAAATTCATAACAATCCTATAAGGTAGGCCCCATTGTCATCTCATTGCATAGATGAGGAAACTGAAAAGTGGAATATTTAAAAAAAAAATAATCTGCTCAAGGTCACAGAGCTAGGAAGAAAGAAACCTGGGATTTAAACTCAAGCAACCTGGGGGCACCTGGGTGGCTCAGTTGGTTAAACATCTGACTCTTGATTTTGGCTCAGGTCATGATCTCAGGGTCCTGGATTTGAGCCCCATGTCAGGCTCTGTGCTTAGCCGCTCAGTGGAGAGTCTGCTTCGGGATTCTCTCTGTCCCTCTGCCCCTCCACCCACCCCACCCCCGCACTCACTCTCACTCTCTCTCTTTCTCAAATAAATATATAAATCTTTAAAAAAAATAAACAAACTCAAGCAATCTGGCTCTGGGGATGTGCTATTAACCACAATATCAAATCATGTTAC